AAAGAAAGAAAGAAAGAAAGAAAGAAAGAAAGAAAGAAAGAAAGAAGAGAGAGAGAGAGCCGAATGCAAGAATTTTAGCCAAAGTTTGTATTTTCTTCGAAGGAAGGAAGGAAGGAAGGAAAGAGAGAAAGAAAGAAAGAAAGAAAAAGAAAGAAAGAGAAACAAAGAAAGAGAAAGAAAGAGAAAGAAAGAAAGAAAGAAAGAAAGAAAGAAAGAAAGAAAGAAAGAAAGAAGAGAGAGAGAGAGCCGAATGCAAGAATTTTAGCCAAAGTTTGTATTTTCTTCAAAGGAACGAAGGAAGGAAGGAAGGAGAGAGATAAAAAGAAAAAAAGAAAAGAGAAAGAAAGAAAGAAAGAAAGAAAAGAAAGAAAGAGAGAGAGAGAAAGAGAGAAAGAAGAGAGAGAGAAAGAAAGAGAAGGAAAAGAGAAAGAAAGAGAAAGAAAGAAAAGAGAGAGAGAGAGAGAGAAAGAAAGAAAGAAAGAAAGAAAGAAGAGAGAGAGAGCCGAATGCAAGAATTTTAGCCAAAGTTTGTATTTTCTTCGAAGGAAGGAAGGAAGGAAGGAAAGAGAGAAAGAAAGAAAGAAAGAAAGAAAGAGAAACAAAGAAAGAGAAAGAAAGAGAAAGAAAAAGAGAAAGAAAGAAAGAAAGAAAGAAAGAAAGAAAGAAAGAAAGAAAGAAAGAAAGAAGAGAGAGAGAGAGCCGAATGCAAGAATTTTAGCCAAAGTTTGTATTTTCTTCAAAGGAAGGAAGGAAGGAAGGAAGGAGAGAGATAAAAAGAAAAAAAGAAAAGAGAAAGAAAGAAAGAAAGAAAAGAAAGAAAGAGAAAGAGAGAAAGAAGAGAGAAAGAAAGAGAAGGAAAAGAGAAAGAAAGAGAAAGAAAGAAAAGAGAGAAAGAAAGAAAGAAAGAAAGAAAGAAAGAAAGAAAGAAAGAAAGAAAGAAAGAAAGAAAGAAAGAAAGAGAGAAAGAAGCGACTTTTCAGGGGAGCAGAAAGTCCTCAAAATGTATAGTATCTATCCTGTCCTTGATCTCCCAGAGTTGCTGCTGCTGCTGCTGCTGTCCTTAGATCCCCCCCCTGTCCATTCCCCCCCCAGTACCAGCATCCCTGCCCTGAACGTTTTCGTTTTGTACTTGGAACAACACACAAAGCAGGCAAGCCAGTTCAGTGGGCGCAGGGGTTTGTGCGTGCATCATGCTGTACTTCGCCTCTACTGGAGACCGTCGCACCTCTTTGATCCTCTTGACTAAAGCGTTCTGGTCAAAGGCCACGGCTTCCGCGCACTGGTGAAGGTGGTCCTGGTACCGGAGACACAGCTGGAGAACTTGCTGAGAATCCAACTTCTCTAGCTTAATGTTGGTCGGAGACATTTGCCCACTGAGAAGACCTGGAAAGGATGGGAGAGAAACACCGGCTAATGAAGGACGTCGCCAAGGACCAAAGGAGGAGAAAGAAAGAAAAACAAAACCAAAAATGTCCAACTATTATCTCGCCTACGTGGTTGAGGTGGTTGAAAAGAGTGTTGCTCAACCTCGGCAACTTTGAAGATGTCTGGATTTCGATTCTCAGAATTCTAGGAGTTGGCGCCCCACGTCTTCCAAATTGCCAAGGCTGAGATATGTCGACTTTAAACAGGGCTAGGGTGACCCAGATAAGAGCTGAATTTTAGAATAATAATAATAATAATAATAAAAAGGCGTCTTTTATGGATAGTGGCACGGCAGCGATCATTTTGACGCATCCAGAATCTTCATTGCCACTCGTAATTAAAGAAACAGGCATACAGGTAGTCCGTGATTTATGCCCACAATTTGAGCCCCAAATTTCTGTGAGTTTTATCCCATTTTATGCCCTTTCTTGTCACAGTTGTTAAGTGAATCTAGGATGTAAAAAAATAAGGTCTGATTAGCCCAGGGGTCTGCAACCTGGACAACTTTAAGACTTGTGGACTTCAGCTCCCAGAATTCCTCAGCCAGCAAAGCTGGCTGAGGAATTCTGGGAGCTGAAGTCCACAAGTCTTAAAGTTGTCCAGGTTGCAGACCCCTGAATTAGCTCCTCAAGAGGTCAACTCTGCCTATCACAGTGGTTCTCAACCTTTTTAATGCCGCGACCCCAACCGGTCGTAAGTCGAGGACTAACCTGGTCGTATGTCGAGGACTAAACCGGTTGTAAGTCGAGCACTACCCAACCAGTTGTACGTCGAGGACTGTGCCTGCCCGGGAGCGCCGTGCATGCGTGGTTCCGCCCCCTGCGCCAGCCGAGGCGTAGCTGGCAAGCGGCAGAGACGGAGCAGGCCGACCACCAGCTGGCCCAGCCCAAGGGAGGTAAGGCACCCGCCGGAAAAGGGGAAAAAAATGGCGGACAGCCTTGCTTGGCGACCCCCGTGAAATGGTCGATCGACCCCAAATGGGGTCGCGACCCACAGGTTGAGAACCACTGGCCTATCACGTAACAGAGTTCAGCTGATCTAAATCTCCAGAATGCTTTGATGCTGCTCTGGGCAGTCCTGGTGGCGACTGTTTTATTCCCCCGCAAACGCGTCAGGAAATTAAAAGCTGTACAATGCACAGGAGCCCTCCAATCACAAGGGCTCCTTTTGACAGTGTTATCGTACAGTCACTATCTGCTGGCACGTCTCGCTGCGCAATTACCTGGTCACAACACTTACACACAAAAGCAGACCCCAGATTGCCAAAAGGCTCACCCTATCGTGTTTTCCACTCAGCCTCCGCTGACAGGACGTTGTCAGACCGGTCTGATTCTGCTGAAATATACAGCTGTTTTTTCTACCCAAAAACAACAAAGCGGCTAAGCTAGGGGGAAAAACAACCCACTTAAAATGAACAAAAACCGTTGCAAAAAAAGGTTGAATAAATTAGCATCCCAGGAAAGCACAAAAGAAGCGACAGGAGCAGAGGCAGCCAAGGGGATGGATGGGAAGCTCTGAACAGACTGAAAAGTCATCCCTCCATCTCTTGAAGGAAGAAGCGATCCTTTGGTAGAGCGCAAATGCCCAAATGCAAAAGAAGATAATAATAATAATAATAATAATAATAATAATAATAATAATAATAATAATAATAATAATAATAAAGTTGGAAGGGACCTTGGAGGTCATCTAGTCCAGTGGTTCTCAACCTTTTTAATGCCGTGACCCCAACCAGTCGTAAGTCGAGGACTAAACCGGTCGTACGTCGAGGACTAAACCGGTCGTACGTCGAGGACTAAACCGGTCGTAAGTCGAGGACTACCCAACCGGTCGTAAGTCGAGGACTTTCCCTGCCCGGGAGCGCCGCGCATGCGTGGTTCCGCCCCCTGCGCCGGCCGAGGCGTAGCTGGCAAGCGGCAGAGACGGAGCAGGCCGACCACCAGCTGGCCCAGCCCAAGGGAGG